CTGCTTACTAATCACTTTGAAAGACTGCAAGGTATCCACCTGATGTCCTGTATCAAGATGTTTGTTAATTGCACTATTTAGAGTCTTTCTTTCTCTTGTTCTGAGGTTTGTTAGAACATGTTCACGCTACTGTATGCTACCCATTCGAAACCGACAGTTTGAATCTTAATACTACAAATCTAACAACCAGTCCACATGGAGTACATTTATAATTATTTTAAGACGGCAACAGATCTAGATAAACCGTAGGAAGCCTTACAATTTATTCAATCTATTGAAACTGAGAAAAGCGGTAAAATAATAAAGACGTAACTCATGCAAGTAAAGTAAGTCGCTTATGAAACTCAAAACCTGTATCTCAAATCTGATAAATTTCAATATTTACAGTAAAACCAAGAATAGACAGATCACTGACAATCAGAACGAGGAATTGAATAAAACAAACAGTAGTATTTCATATAAAGAAGTCGGATAAACAAATCCATCTAAAACCTAGTTTTTCCCTTGTTTCAGAATAAAATGATATGGACTAGCAAGTCATCATAAATAACCTACTTTTTAACGAATGGTCAAAAATAATCACACCAATTACATGTCTATTCGTTCGTATTAAATACAATAAAGAATAAGTACCACACCATATTACGTAATGATATAAGTAAAATTGAAACTTAAATACTATCAATTAGACTTGATGACCTCATGCAACTGATATGTGGCAGTGAAAGTAAGTGGAATTGGCCAGTAGAAGTGGACAAACAGACACTTAAATCACTACTACATATATGATTTCCCTTATTACCATTGATTTCTACTCTGGAATTACTGAGCCTAACTACTTGTAATTGTGTTGAATATTGTCTACCGTATACTTTTGTTTTTTACGATTGGTCGTAAATCGTATGATGTGACGTAATCCAGTCTGTGTATAGAAAATCGATCGGGTATCCAATCTAGTGGTGACGCATTGTAGTAACAATAAATGAGTCATAAAATTTTAAAAAACCATACCGCCATGATCAGACTCCGTTCGAGACCGAATCTATGGATGATAACAATGCTACAGGTGATTGACTTCATTAAACGGCTCGTTGAACAAACGATAGTGTGATATTTTACTGCTCTATTTTTTTGTACTAACAAACTAATGTCTATTATTCCGCTAAAATTATGTACATCGTTTACAACAAATTTTTAGACAAGGCAGTTAATTTGATCATTTCAAAGAAAATACGATCAACCATTTTATAGATGGAGTTATCCAAACAACATGGATGTAGTAATGAAACCCCACATAATGCAAAATTACTTACTAAAAAGGTTGAGTATCTCTGCAAACGAGATCATCAGTATACAAGTGACTAAGGTAAAATTGACAAATTAATATTATTACTAGTTACTAAAAATGATCCTTGTAAAAGGCAAAAAGGTAGCATGACTACAGCTTGAACCAGGACAGTCAAGGGAATACCAAGAAGACAAAGATCGGACGGCCAGAAAATAAAGATACTAATAATGGTATAAAGAACTGCACGGACCAAATACGACGATTACCTAACTTGTCTTGTACTGCCAGGAAACATAAGAAATTGACATCATACATTAATTACTTCATTTTATATATTAACAAGTCGACCAGTCTTACTAATTGCTAAAACGAAGATTCGATTGAGGTCTTAAAAAGCATACAATGGGATCACATTCATAATATTTATGCGGACACGCATAATACGTAGTTTATCGTATATATAGTGATCCCTTGATAAATTCAGATGAAGCGACAATATTTAAATCGTCGTTCTAACAGGGTTTGACAGACCAATTTTTAACTCGGGTTCTAGGCGATATAACCAGTCACTATTAGTAACACCTGCTTCGGTTTGGGCGCCCGGGCAGTATCACAGCGCATATGTATCTGGTGCCCCCCTGTACCAATATCTATGTGTTCAAATAAATAAATAATAAGAACTATTGGTAATCCTATTTCACGTTGGACGGTAGGACTTGCGTAGCCGTAAACCAGAGTTTCACACCTCTTGGTAATCACCAATGAAGTTTGATATGAACACTTGATCTAGTAGTAACTAAATTTGTATACCTGACGTATACGGATGTTCTATATATTAGGACTATATTGTTGTTTTTCTCTCTCATTATCATTACTACTACATTATTTCAACTCCTTTACTATTTACCTAGCTAGTTTCATTTTATTACGCCAAACTGATACAACAACTTGGACTAACCCAGATTTGTGTCTAGCTCTACGTTAATTATAGTTGACTGAAATATTTTTATGAGATTTTTTAAGTTATTCCTAAACAATCAAATGATTGAATGTATACCAGTCAGATGTTACATTTGAATAAGTTGTCAGAATGCCCAACTTTGAGAAGAAATGATAAACGTTTGCTCTTTGAACGATAACTCACTTTGAAACACTCAATTGTAATCGCATGCACCCTCCTGTGTCTACATAAGTTGATTAAATATTCCACTTAATACATGACTAAAATAGCATTTCCCTGAATGTAGATAAAGAGTCATCAATCCTAAATAATGTATATGCTTCAAAATGAATTGACACTAAGAATGTCAACCAACATATTAAATGATTATCTGTTGAACAATCTTATTAGTTCTTTTATCACTGGAATTTTTTTACACCTTTTCATGTCATCGTAACTACATTTGTGTGACATGATAGTAAATCCCAAACCAATGATCACTATAATCAATATCAAAATAATAAACCATGAATAAGCATAACTCAGGTGAAATCATTGTCTTTATACCTGATTCTCTGAAGTCTATGTATCAATCAGGAAATACTGTGACTTGTATAGTGAAAATCGCTTTCTACTGTCTTATATACAAACGGTAAGATGTAATTCCGAAAGAAATTAAATCTACTTTGATTATGTTCGCATTCGAAGTAAGTTCTTTCCCATACTTCGACCTAAGAATACATAAATTGTACTTTTAAAATCTATTAAGAAAAAGTAGATCAGCAAAGGAATCATTATCAGAGTTCAGTTGTGGAGTTATAGCAAAGGCATATAAATACTAGATTAACTGTATAGAAATGTGTAGATCTGTGATAACAATAATAATAATTATTATTAATTGAATTTCAATTCATTTTATTCCCGAATATTTAGTTTACTTTAATGACCAAATCTTCAAATCAATTGCCTAACGAACAGTTTACTGGTTGAAACTCAACAGAATGAACATGAGCACGAAGTCCACAAACTGCCTGTGGATTGGTATTTAAAGCACTTAGCTCCTAACTAACAGGTTGCAAGTCCGAGCCCCACTCCACATACTTCGACTTCAGAAACCGTGTTAGATGGAATAGGAGTTAGAGAAAATAATAAGAGGTCAAACTAAAACGTAGCATCAGTTTATAAGGTTACTGCGGTTATGCTGAATCATACTGGCTGAAACAGATTACGTGGTTGAAGTCTGTACGACAACCGCAGTCAGTGATTGGAGCCAGTTAAAATTGACAGTGTCCCCTAATCTTTGTAAGAACTTCAAAATGTAAAGCCAACTATAGTTCATGTGATATTTATTCACGTAGAAGATGGGTTTTATGGATTGAAATGTTCCGGTTTGATAAGGAAAAGCATAAAGAGTCACTATCGCGTAGAAACGGCATGTGATCACTAAGACATGCAAAATGCTAAATTATTCTGACGAACATAAATCAACAAAGATAGATACCTGTTTAGTTTGTTCAAAGTAACCTATTAAATAAATCCCACTAGTGATAAAATAAGAGAGACTCTTGCACTGTACATATGTTCGAGTAAATCAGGATATGAATATACATCATTCATACACTGCAGTTTCAAGAAACCATTTCGCTGATCATTCAACAAGTTTGAGTACAGAGATTGTTAATGGTGCGTAGGAGCATCCATAAAAATGATTCTGACCATAAAAATGTCAACTAATCTGAACACAGAGGGACAAGTAACTACAGAGCGAATTCTCTCAGTTAAAGATGAATACGTTGGTTATAAAGATCTAAAAGTTCTGAAATTAAATAAAAGTCGCTTATACTTCAGACATATATTAAGTTCTCAACAGTTCAGTTTCCTTATGCTTAATGGCTAACAGATTATCTATTTATCTGAGCACAGATATTGGTACAGGGGGACACCAGATACATATACGCCACATAAATATCATTTGATCTGTGTGAGGGCTGTGACACTGACCGAGTGCCCAAACCGGAGCAGGTGGTTTTCTTAGGGAACCACACCCAGCGCCTTCGACCTAAAGGTCTGATTCACAAGGCAATAGAGCAACGTCAGATGAAATCCCATGGTAGACAGTGACCAACAATTAGTTCATATTCCATTTGTCCCCTCAACATACTGGAGCTCATGTGCATCATTGATTTCGAATCAGGGTTTTCCAACTTCCCCAGGTGTACCCTCCATATCCACCAACCCTGTTAAAGTGCCTGATATTCGTTATTCATCCTCTCAATTTCGTAAACAACACCCCCATCACGAGAAGGCAGTGAGTAGGACTTCCCTGGCAGTGTTTGTATGCACGTGGCCATCTGAGAGCGTTTCAAGAGGGAGAGTTGACTCTTCTCACTCTCGGCCGTACCAGGGCATTTGTAAGTTTCATGATCATTTTCAAAACCATTTAAAATTAGCAGTATCGAAGAATCACAGAGCTGTATACTCATGAAGGGATTTAAAAATAACATTTAATCCTAGTAATATTATAATAGTAGAATTAATTAAAGTAGATCATCATTTCAGTGATCCAAAGTATTTCTTCTTGATATAATGAATTGATTTTGTGGGAACCCTATTTAAGGTACATTTATCTCTTTAACAAATGATATAGAACTGATCACGTATTTCCAAATTATGTAATCATCCTAATACTCACACCTATAAATGAATAAAGATAAAAGTCATTTTTTGAAAAAAACTAATAATAACATTCAATGACTGATATTGGTAACTTACCTAAGAGAAGTAGTTTCACATCTTTTGCAGCTTGCATCCCATCTTCTTTAAGTTTTTTATCTATATTTCGACTTTGTTCAAGAGCATCACGCTCTTCTTTAGATAGTGTACAACCCATTTTATAATTAGTAGGGTATTTATTTGTATAGATTTATGTAAATAATATTTAATATCCAATATAGTGTAATGTTTTAATTATTGATATAAAGTATAAAGGATAAGATAAGGATAAAATACAATTATTCCTTTCACAAAATATAATTTCAAGGAGTTGTTCAACTTCTCCTAATCTAGTTTCAATATTATTGATTTCAGAATGAAACAAAGTTGTTGTATGTTCCCCCTCCTAATTGATGATAGACACTAACGTTAACAAATCAAATCTAGGCTTACTCACAAATTATTACTACTTATGGGAGAATGGTGTTGTTACTACTTAAACAAGACACACAAGACCCAATCTTAATGTATCAAATATAGATTATATATACATTAATATACATAACTAGTAGGTTTTGTAGGTGTGTGTAGCTACGCATGTGTGTGTGGTGTGCACGTTCATAACATACTTTATTTCCAATGGACCAGGTTTATTATAATAATAAGTAAGGCAGAGATTCTCTAACTAAAAATAGGAAAAATCTCATAGGCTATATATATATGTATATAATAGATATGTCTATACATCTTTTAAAAAATCAAAAAGGAATGTGGAAAATCCAACTATCTATCTATAATCTGATCGATATGATAAGGAACAAATAAAACAAATAAATTTCTCCCTATCCCGTATGTCTATATGTTTGTGTATGTGTGTTTATTAGTAATCCTAGTTTAGTTAGAGAAAAAAAATACAAAAATAAAAACTTTATTCATATTTGATTGGTTGATTATAATATTGGGGCTATATAATTTATATACTTTATTGGGACATACATATATATTGTATTCTTATATCTGAAAAATTGTTGTCTATACCTTATTAAGATTTGAAATGTCTGGCCAAAATAAATTTGTTCCGTGTATCATTGATTTAGTTGCTATCCTAATTTTGGCCTGAAAATAAGGATTATAATAATAATAATAATAATAATAATAATAATAATAATAGTAGTAGTAGTAGTAGTAATACTGGTCCTTTTATTTGTAATATGGTTCTGGCAATTTTTAATATAGGATTGATTTTAACTGTGAACATTTGATAAGCTATGGTACGTATACATGACTCACATTAACTCGGCGCCCGAATATTATGAAATCATTCGTTCAAATTTAGACGAAAGTTCTTAATTAATGGTACATATTAGTATCTATAATACATTAAAACACTACATCAATAATTCATTACATGGTACAGGATCCAGTAGTCGTATGTGATTAGTATGAATGGAATCATTGATCAGTCCCCAAATGCCCTGGTATGGCCGAGAGTGGGGAGAGTCAACTCTCCCTCTTGAAACGCTCTCAGATGGCCACGTGTATACAAACACTGCCAGGGAAGTCCTACTCACTGCCTTCTCGTGATGGGGGTGTTGTTTACGAAATTGAGAGGATGAATAACGAATATCAGGCACTTTAACAGGGTTGGTGGATATGGAGGATCCACCTAGGGATGTTGGAAAACACTGATTCGAAACCAATGATACACATGGGCTCCAGTATGTTGAGGGAACAAATGGAGTATGAACCAATTATTGGTCACCGGCTGCCATGAGACTGCATCTCCTTACGATGATCCACTGCCTTGTGGATCAGACTTTTAGGTCGAAGGCGCTGGGTGTGGCTCCCTAAGAAAATCACCTGCGTCGTATTGGGCACTTGCGCAGTATCACAGCCCTCACACAGATCAAATGAGATTTGTGTGGCGCATATGTATTTGGTGCCTCCTTGTACCAATATCTATGTGTTCAAATAAAATAAATAAATCATTGATCATCGACCAACTAATGACATGATAAACGGTAGAATAAAATATATTATCAATCGAGCATCTAATTGTAAAGTTCGCAACCGGTACTTCAAATGTAGAAGGGTAGGTTCTTATGGAAACAAGCTATTCAATGAAGTGAAAATGATGATATGGTGAAATGATTGAAATGGTTATCATTTCAAGAAGTTTAAAATTGAGTGTTAACATTTGTACTCATTTCAGTTTCAGTTTGGAAAGGACAAAAGGCTAGGTGGTCTGTGATAGTCCTGGCAATGACGGTCTCTCAGTTGATCCAACTTTCTTTTGAAAGAGTCGACAGATGGAGCTTCAATCACGTGTTGAGGTAATAAATTCCACTCGTTGACGATTCGATGGGAAAGTCAATAGTTAGCTGATAAGTAATTTGTCCTGGGCTTGTGAACATTTTTGGCGTGTCCTCGTAAATTCTCTGTATTGGAAGATAAGAGAAATGAGGGCATTGTATATGGAAATTCATCGCTAAGTAATTTGAAAACTTTAATCAAGTCACATCTAGCTCTTCGATATGACAATGGGACTAGGTTTAGTTTAGCCAGTCGAGCATCGTACAGGAGCTTTACTATTCTGGGAATCAGCTTAATTGCTGTTTAATTTAAAAACTACAAGAACTATGATTTCAACAGAATAAAATGATGTCACTCTATTTCATTTGATGCATGTACGCAACCTGAATGGTTTTAACATCGAAATTACGAAGGAAGTTTAAAAGTCCCACATAAATGAGTTTGTGAATACATATACATGACCATAAATGGTCAGTCTGCTTTTGGTATATGTGCATCATGTGCGAATTACCTCGATATTACCATTAACTCATAAGTATTTTAAACAGAGATGGACGATGACTAGTAGTGGAATTTACGACGGGCGTTTCATCCCATTTAAGACTCGTCTGTTGGATGAACCTGCTTCCCACAGTTGAAAGTCACCCTATTGCACAAGCCAGTGGCTATCTGGACTCAGTGGTTAAGTGGATAACGCTATGGGATTCGAAGTGAACGGTACTAGTTCATAGTCCCAGAGTAAACATCAACTCTATAAACGCATGTACTAAATTCCATTGTCAGCCACCATCCATCTCTGCTTACAATATTCAGTATTGTACTGATGAGGAATAGCAATTTGGACCGATGCATATATGCGCCTGGTCCTACGTTCTAGCTGACTGACTGAAAATATTCAACAAAATATAACAATCATATATCATTGCAAAAAATAGAGTTCTGGAATTTCGATAAAGATCGTAGCAAAAATCGATAAGGGTGAAATGGAGGAGTTACGCAATTAAATGTTTGACAAATAAGAATGGGATGAATGATGCTAATGCGGTGAAAAACACACTAATAACCTTGAATAAGGTTGGATAAATGATGAAAGTAAACAAGGCTTGTACTACCATAGTAGTAAAAGGGTAAAGACTATTTCTCGTTGAGTACATACATTGGGTTTCAGGTACTTGATAGTTATAGCTTCAGTAAATTTTAGGTTCGAGTTTCGTCGTTTATCAATCACCTTGAAAAATTTCCTAGTGTCCGTATGATTGCCTGTGAGAAAAGGATGTTTAAAAATATCTCTTAATAAATACATTTATTCATCCTAAATAAATCGAAAGAATAAGCCTTTCTTTCTTTTGAGTTTGTTAGGTACGTGTAAATTTCTACACACAGAAGATGATAAGATAAAACAAGAATTTTTCGAAACAAGATTAAATTATTGAACTTATTGTTTCATGAACTTTTTCTATTAAGGCTAAATAATTTAAGGATATAACTTCTACATAAATTGGTTCACATGAATTATGATACAGATAAGCGTACTTTGAATCAAATGACAGTGAATACCCTACACTGACGAGTCCCAAATAGGACGAAACGCGCGTCACACTGGATTCCACTGCTAACCACTATCTATTTTTGCTTAAAAAACTTGTGACCTAAAGCTATATTGAGGCAATCCACACAGGATTCACATATGCTAACATGAGACTGATCAAGTGCAGTCCTAAATAACAATGTGAAGATACAAGTAAAATAACACCAAGTGAATTTATACAACGTTTAGTCTAATATTACGATATAATAACTTGGATGAATGAACACTTTTATTTTGACTAGATAATAGTGAGCCCAAGGTTGGTTATCTGAACTCAGTAATGTAATGAATGACATGGTGGTGATTTTAGATATGATTTTTGATTTACATACATCATGGAGAAACCAACAGTTACTGAAATTGTCTGAAATACTGTTGGCGACTAACAAAATAAGATGAGACTCACTTTTCAAATTACACTACTAATCGTTACTGCATACCATCAATGAAAACTGTCTTATTGTATTTCTTTATCAAATATTGATAACAATCATGAATATCTTCCAGGAGGTGACAAATTAAAACAGATGTTAACTGTTATTTGTACAACTGAATCATGGACAACTAAGAACAAGGATAAATAAATAGCAGTCCAATGTTCTACACACATACAAAAAGTAAATCAACAAGATAAGAATCAGATGTATGTGAAATGGCTCTAAACTGTAGTCCAATTGTTTTGGGATTGTAGCTAACAGTAAAATCTAGGAGGCGCGTTTCATTTTATTTAAGACCCATCAGATAGATATACCCTCATCCCAGTGTTGATGAACACTTCGGGACTGAAAATCAATGCCAACTGCTTTAATTGCTGACGTGTTATTTACTAAGCTACTTAGTCTAGATAATCACTAACTTGCGCACCACTAAATATCATGCTCGTCGAACAAATTTATGTTCGTAGTTTTGTGAGATGTGTCGAATACTTATAAGACGCCTCACTACAATACTGTATTACAACACGTGTTCAGCAATCGTTGTTAGATAGCTTATATCAGAGAAAATAAAATTAAAGACATCGTGAATATATGGGGTATTATGATAGATATGATCAATCACTATGAAGCGTAGTCAATTTTTGGAAAGTGATCATTTATACTACTCAAAGTAGTATATCGACGTTAGGAAAATTGCGCATCTAGATTCTACCACACAATCTGTCTTACCGGTTTCCGGACTTTATTTAATTGCTGCCTCACCCGCTCTCCATGTTTTTGAACTCCAAATGATCACACACCTATTCTTATATATATAGTTGTAATTAGCTGATGATAAAC